CATGTATACTTTTTAGAAAATTGAGCAATTTTTCCTTAGAAAAATATGTCAAAGTGCTGGAATATGCATATTGTTATTCTATTTTATGTATTTATCTGTGTTTTAAAATTCCTCATCCTGGGGCCAGCCTTGTGGCATAGAAGGTAAAGCCACACCTGTAACAGAAGCAACCCATAGAAGCACTGGTTTGTCTCCCAGCTGCTCCACTTCTTCTTCTTCTTCTTCTTTTTTTTTTTAATTTTATTTATTTATTTAGTTAGTTAGTTGTTCCACTTCTGATATTGCTCCTTGCTAGTGGGCTGGGAAAAGCAGAGGAAGGGGCCGGCGCCGCGGCTCAGTAGGCTAATCCTCCGCCTAGCGGTGCTGGCACAGTGGGTTCTAGTCCCGGTGGGGGCGCCGGATTCTGTCCCGGTTGCCCCTCTTCCAGGCCAGCTCTCTGCTGTGGCCCAGGAGTGCAGTGGAGGATGGCCCAGGTGCTTGGGCCCTGCACCCCATGGGAGACCAGGAAAAGCACTTGGCTCCTGGCTCCTGCCATCGGATCGGCGCGGTGCGCCGGCTGCAGCGCGCCGGCCGCGGCGGCCATTGGAGGGTGAACCAACGGCAAAGGAAGACCTTTCTCTCTGTCTCTCTCTCTCACTGTCCACTCTGCCTGTCAAAAAAAAAAAAAAAAAAAAAAAGGCAGAGGAAGATGACCCAAGTGTTTGGGTCCCTGCAACCCATATGGGAGATCTGAGTAAAGCTCCTAGCTCCTGGTTTCCGCCTGGCCACTGTGGCATCTAGAGAGTGAACCAGTGGATGAAAGATCTCTCTTACTCTGTCTCTCTCCTTCTCTCTCTACAAATAAAAACACAATAATAAATCTTAAAAAATATTCTTGGCTGGTGCCGCGGCTCACTAGGCTAATCCTCTGCCTTGCGGCGCTGGCACACCGGGTTCTAGTCCCGGTCAGGGCGCCGGATTCTGTCCCGGTTGCCCCTCTTCCAGGCCAGCTCTCTGCTGTGGCCAGGGAGTGCAGTGGAGGATGGCCCAGGTGCTTGGGCCCTGCACCCCATGGGAGACCAGGATAAGTACCTGGCTCCTGCCTTCGGATCAGCGCGGTGCACTGGCTGCAGCGCACTGGCCGCAGTGGCCATTGGAGGGTGAACCAACGGCAAAAGGAAGATCTTTCTCGCTGTCTCTCTCTCACTGTCCACTCTGCCTATCAAAAAAAAAAAAAAAAAAAAAAAAAAAGAAATGTGGTTTTCAGAGTCTCAAATAAATAAATAAATCTTTTAAAAAAAGTTTCAAGACTTTTAAGCATCTGAGTGTACATTAGTAGCATTCCATAAAATTAGATACAAGATTTTGATATGAGAGTTATTAAGGTGAATATTTTATAAATTTCCAAGTGGTTAGACTTAATTTTTAAATTTGTTAATTATTTTCCAGTTTTACATAGTCATAACAGAATATATAGATTTCTGTTTTTTGGAGCTAACCAGATTTTCTTGGTGGCCTATTTTTGATAAATTTTGACCAATATTTCGTGACAACTGTCAAAGGGTCACTGTAGGAATTAAAGTTCAACATGTAAGTGTTCAATATAAGTGTTCAAATCACTTATAAATAAGTTTTATTTATTCTTTATATACTTATTTATTTTTACTCTTTTGATTTATTACTTCAAAATTTTTTATTATTTCACATCATACACAAAAATTAACAAAAGATGGATCAAAGACTTAAGTAGGCATAAATGTAGGAACTCAGACTATAAAACTCTCAGAAGAAAGCAATTAAGCAATAACTATCTTGTTCTGAGATGAACAGAAAATGTGACCCATGACAAAAGAATACCCATTCAGTTACACAATTACCTTACATTAGGCAATGGCTTCTTAGGTAGGACACCAAAGCAAAAGCAACAAAAGAAATACATTAGACTTCATTAAAATCTTTATTTTTCAGAGGATGCCAGCAAGAAAGTGAGAAAACAAGCCAGAGATCTAACATGTGTTTCAGCAGAGTTCTTCACATAGAGGAAAAAGAGGGTGAGGATAAAAAAGTATTCAAAGAAATAATGGTTGAACATTTCCCATACTAGCCAAAAGATAAACCTACAGCTTCAAGAAGCTGAGCAAGGGCCGGCACTGCGGAGTGGCGGATAAAGCCGCCACCTGCAGTGCCCGCATACCATATGAGTACCGGCTGCTCCAATTCCAATCCAGCTCTCTGCTATGGCCTGGGAATGCAGTAGAAGATGGCCCAAGTCCTTGGACCCCTGCACCACGTGGGAGACCCGGAGGAAGCTCTTTGCTCCTGGCCTCAGATTGGCGCAGCTCCAGGAATTGCAGCCAACTGGGGATGAACTAGTGGATGGAAGACCTCTCTCTCTCTCTCTCTCTCTCTCTCTCTCTCAGTGTGTGTAACTCTGACTTTCAAATAAATAAATAAATCTTTTTTTTTTTTAAAAAGAAGCTGAGCAAACCCCAACAGTATAAACACAAAGAGATTCATGACAAGAGACATATAACCAACCTTCAGAATAGTAAAGACAAACCAGTGAGAGAAAAATAGCACTTTTACTTATTAAGGAAAAACAGTTCAAGTCATAGTGGGTTTTTCACCAGCAACCAAGGAGGCCAGAAGGAAGCAGGCTTTTCAAGTACTCAAAGAAAAGACTTGTCAACTCAGAGTTCTATTTCCAGTGAAATTATCCTTCAGGAACGAAGGGGGAAAAAAAGATATTCTCAGAGTGTCTGTCATCTGAAGACTTACTTGACAAGTGTTTGTTGTCTGAAGACCTACTTGACAAGTGTTTGTTGTCTGAAGGTTTATTCTGAAAGAATGCCTAAAGGAAGTTGCAGAAACGGAATGTATAAAAGAAGGAGCCTTGAAACATCAAGAAGGAAGAACAGAGTAAAAAATACAAAGAAAGTAAATATAATTTCTTTCTCTTCTCAAGTCTTCTAAATTGTTTAACAATTGAAGCAAAAATGTATTACTGCCTATTATAATATATGTACAGGATATCTTGAAGACAACACATTAAAAATGGAAAAGTATTAAAATGACTAAATAAAAGTATTAAATGACTAAATAAAAGTATTAAATGATTAAATGAATAGGAGGTAAGGTTTTTATATTTTGCTTGAACTGATAAAATGTGGTTTTTTTAAAGAATTATTTTATTTATTTGAAAGCCAGAGTTACACAGAGAGAGAAGGAGAGGCAGAGAGAGGTCTTCCATTCCACTGGTACACTCCCCAAATGACTGCAACGGTCAGAGCTGAGCTGATCCAAAGCTAGGAGCCAGGAGCTTCTTTCCAGGTCTCCCACGTGGGTGCAGGGGCCCAAGGACTTGGGTCATCTTCTACTGCTTTCCCAGGCCATAACAGAAAGCTGGATTGGAAGAAGAGCAGCCGGGACTAGAACTGGCACCCATTTGGGATGCTGGCGCTTCAGGCCAGGGCTTTAACCCGCTGCCCCACAGCACCGGCCCCAGGCTAAAATGTTACTACCAGTAGATGGCTGTGGTACTGAAATAGTTCCATATCTTAACTTTAGTGGTATTTATAGAAATCTGCATATGTGATAAAACAGCAAAGTACCACATACACACGTCAATTTCCTAGTTTTTATAATATACTAAAGTCATGGTCTGATTTAGCAGAAAGCTGGAGTAGGGAGCCAGAATCAGGAATACAACCCAAGCACATAAACGTGGGATGTGGGCATCCTAATTGACATCTTGCCTGATAGGGTAAACTCCTACTTCATAGAATTGTTATTACTTAGAATTTCCAAGAGAAGCCATCACATACAAGCCACAGTAGAAGAATCATATGTTGGTCAGAGAGAGAGGGAAGAAAGAGCAAAGGAAAGTCCAAATCAGAGCCCTTACTGGGGGTCCACAGGAAATGCAAAGCAGGGAAAGAGCCGAGGATGGACTAGTGTGAATGATTCTGGCAGACTCTGGGGACACAGAAGCTATCCCTGGTTGTCTGGCCCCTGGGCTGATTCAGCATAGGGGAAATACTGGCTTGGTGTGTGAGAATTAGTAAAGAGCCTGGATTCTGGATCACAGGGGACATATAAACAACTTTGACTATAGGTTTAGCCTATAAATGACTAATGGATGTCAAATAGACAAATACAGAATCTAAGAAAATACAGAATATAACTGAGATAACTCTGCCAAATTCTTACGTGTACAATAAACATTTCAAAAGGGATTCCAGAAATCCTCCATCCAGAAGCTAGAAACTACACAGAGCATAGTCTGTACCTTCAATGAAATAAGAGTGTATGAGAAAAGAAAGAAAAAGGTATCTCTACTTTGGGATTCATTAGAGAAAAACCAGGGGGAATAGAGGAAACATGAGGAATTATAAAAACAGGCCAAAGAAGACTTTGGACTCCAGTATCAATAAATACTTCCTATAATTACTCTACTACAATAGAATCATATTTTCTCAGTTATACTATTATATAGACTTTGGAACCAAACTACCTGAATACAAATATCTCATTTTCCACAAACTGCGAGACCATCTGCAGGTTATTTAACCTTTCTGAACTTCAGTGTTTTCATCTATAAAAGTAAAATATTAACAAAAAAGAGAAGTAGAGGCTAAGCGTTGCTGAAAGGATTACCCAACTTCATATCTTAGGACAGGGCTCAGCCCAAAGGGAACACTTTGTAAGTCTCAAATATTGTAAGTTGTGTAACCAGATTTCACTGAATAAAAAGTGTTGGTTTTTCCTGATCTTACCATAGGGTGTCAGCAGAAGTTTTTCACTTTCGTATCATGAGGGTCGCTAATTGAAAGAAATTGTAAGATGCCTTTGATTGTAAGAAAGGTTAAAATACTTCAAAATATATGTATCTCAGAATGATAACATGTTTATATGGTTTCATTTAATTTAATTCTAAGTTAGTTTATGTGTAACATAGAGCAAAAGACAGTTAAAACAGGCAACATAGTTTGATTCAAGTATTATATAATGTAACTTCTTACTTCTGTAAATTCCATTTTGTTCAATCCGGGTTCCATTGAGCCAGTAATATCCAACTGTTGGCAATATGATTCTAGAATAAAGGTTATTTGCTAGTTAGTTTAATTGTGATACATTTGTATTTACATTATAGTGCTTTAAAAGAACATACAATTGTTTTCTAACTTTGCTTTGTCTCTAATGTTTCTTAAATAAAATAATAAGAAATGTTTGGGTTTGACATTATTTCTAATGTCTATCTATAGTTAAAGTAAATTATATACAAGTGATTTTCAAAAAGTTCATGGAAAATGTACATTATAAATAAAACAGATGTGCAAAATTAAATCATAAGCTTATTTTGGTGCAAAAATATTTTGAAACCCATGCACATGAGAAGTCATCAAAAAGTTCATGAAAAATGTATATTATGAGAAAACCATAAATGGATATCAAATTTTTTTGCACTCAAATAAAACATTTTGAAATACTGGTAATGACTAGATTAGGATAAAGCCTAAACAGACATGTACAACCATTGAACAAAGACTACAAAAACATCTGTGTTGCTTTATACCAGGATTTATGCTAGCAGGTTCTTTTTCCATTTTAAAGATTTATTTTATTTATTTGAAAGACAGAGTTACAGAGAGAGGCAGAGAGAGAGAGGTCTTCTATCCACTGGTTCACACTCCCCAAGTGTCTGCAATGGCCAGACCTGAGCCAATCCAAAGCCAAGAGCCAGGAGCTTCTTCTCCCATGTGGGTGCAGGAACCCAGGGACTTGGGCCATCCTCCACTGCTTTCCCAGGCCATAGCAGAGAGCTGGATTGGAAGAGGAGCTGCCGGGACTAGAACCAGTGCCCACATGGGATGCCAACACTTCAGGCCAGAGCCTCAATCCACTGTGCCACACCGCCAGCCCCTACGCTAGTAGGTTCTAAAACAAAGCATCTTCATAAACTTTTTAAAATGTTTAGTTATTTATTTTTCACCTACTTGAAAGAAATAATGACAGCAAGAGAAATAGGGAGAGAGAGATCTTCCATCTGCTTGTTCACTCAAATGCCTGCAACAGCCAAAGCAGGGCCAGGCCAAAGCCAGGAGCCCAGAATGCCATCCATGCTTTTCACAAGGGCAGCAGGGGCATAAGCACTTGAACCATCACCTGCTGCCTCCATACTGCATGAGCAGGAAGCAGGATCAGAAGGGGAGTAGCTGGGATTCAAAGCTGCACTCCAGTATGGTGTGTAGGAGTCCCGAGTAGCAGTATAACCCATGGTGCCACAGGGCCTACCCTTACAAACTTCCTTTTTAAAAAATGGTTTTGGAGGCAGATGTTTGAGCTAACACTTAAGATGCCACTTGGGATGCCTGCAATCCGTATCAGAGTGCTGGGTTTGAGTCCCAGCTCCACTCCTAATTCTAGCTTCCTACTGTTGTACACCCTAGGAAGCAGAAGGTGATGGCTCAGTGATTTGGTCTCTGCCACCCATCTGGGAAACTTGTCACCCACATGGGACACTTAGATTGATTTCCCAGCTTGTAGCTTTGATCTGGCCCAGGCCCAGCTGTTGTGGGCATTTGGGAGAGTGAACTAGCAAATGAAAGATTTCTATCTCTTTTTTTCTCTCAAATTAAAAAAAAAATATTAAACTTTCTTTTGTTTATAATGTTTCTTTTTTTCTTTTCTTTTTAAAGATTTATTTGAAAGACAGATTTAGAGACACAGAGAGGGATTCTTCCATCTCCTGGTTTACTCACCAGATGGCTACAACAGCCAGGGCTGTGCCAGGCCGAAGCCAGGAATCTGGAACTCCATTCGGGTCTCTCACATGGGTGCAAGGGCACAAGCACTTGAGCCATCTTTTGCTGCTTTCCCAGGCACACTAAAGCAGCTAGAACTCAAACAGGTGGTCATTGGGGATGCTGGCATTGCAGCTGGCCATTGGAGACATTTGGGGAGTGAACCAACAAATGGAAGATTTCTCTCTGTCTCTCCTGCTCTCTCTCTCTCTCTCTCTCTCTGTGTGTGTGTGTGTGTGTGTGTGTGTGTGTGTAGTGTGTGTGTATGTGTGTGTGTCTGTCTCTATAACTCTGCCTTTCAAATAAATAAATTAATAAATAAATAAATCTTTAAGAGAGCCAGGAAACTGAAAAATAAAATTTAAGATGCAAACAAAAGAACCAAGAAACAAAATTATTACAAGGTGATCAAAGATAGTAGAAAAACAAATTAAGAGAGAATGCTATTACAAAAGCCAAGAAAAAAAGAATTTCATGAATGCCATAGTGATCAGTAATGATAAATAGGGGCCAGTGTTGTGGCAGAGTGGGTTAATTCACTGTGTGCAATGCTGGCATCCAATATGGGCACTGGTTCAAGTCCTGGCTGTTCTAATTCCAATCCAGCCCCTTGGTAATACACCTGAGAGAGCAGAGGATGATGGCCAAGTTCTTGGGATCCTATACCCATGTGAGAGGCCTGGGTGGAGTTCTAGGCTCTTGGCTTCCGACTGGCCCAGTCCCAGCCTTTCTAGCCATTTGGGGAGTGAACCAGTAAATGGATGATTTCTCTCTTTCTCTCTCACTCTGCCTTTCAAATAGAAAAATCTTTAAAAATAATAATAACGGTGAATGAAGCAGGGTAGTTCAAATAAAAATTTATAAACCACCATTTTGTAGGACAATTATGCAATCTTTATTGATCCTACCAAGAGAAAAACAAACTGTATAAAATTCATGATGGAAGAACCAATGCACTGGTTTCTGTTCCTACTTCTAACAGTACGGCCCCTCTTGCATAGCCTATGTTATCACAAGGACATAAGAAAGATTTTCCAGTTATTCTTCCATTTTGTAACTGCCACTCATGAGACATTACTTACTGTGGTCCCAAGAGGACGGCCTAAATTTTCATATAAATTCATGCATTAGATGCTGATATCCCTACTCCTGGCCTTCCTCCAAGCTCCAGAATGTTATATAAACCAGACCATCCCTTAACAGGGGCCTATATTGTGGAATAGAGGGTTAAGTCACCACTACTTGCAACACCAGCATCCCATACTGGAGAGCTGGTTGGAGTCCCAGCTCAAACAGCTAGCAGTTGCTATAAACAGTTTGTTCCCTGATTGGCCTTTGAGTTAACTGAAAGGCAGAAAATATGCCTTAGTCTTCTTCCATTCTCCACACAGTCATAGTACCTGGAACTAAATGAGGGCTCCTTAAATATTGAATGAATGAATGAATGATACAGAAAATAAATACTTCTGGGGCCAGCATTGTAGCACAGTAGGTTAAGCTGCTGCTTGCAACACCAGCATCCCCTACTGGAGTGCTGGTCTGAGTCCCAGCTGCTCTATTTCTGACCCAGTTCCTTGCTAAGGCACTTGAGAATGCAGCAGAAGATGGTCCAAGTTCTTGGGCCCCTGCTACCCATGGGTGTATTCCAGATGGAGTTCTGGGCTCCTGGCTTCAGCCTGGACCAGCCTTGGCCATTCTAGCTATTTGGGGAGTCAATGGCAAATGGAAGATCTGTGTGTGTGTGTGTGTGTGTGTGTGCCCTCCTCTCTCTATCACTCTTCCTTTCAAGTAAATCAATCTTTTAAAAAGAAATATATATATATATATATATATATACACACTGTAGTACTGGAGGTAAGAGGAAAAACAATCACTGTCCACTGGTATTCCTTTAATTTTATGAGGATCCCAGAGAAAATTCTATTAACTTGCTCCTTCTGTATCCCATCCAAAATAAACTAACAGATTATTTCAAAGATTTTCTGAAACAAGAATGGAGGTTGAGCTGATAAAAGAATTATAATTTCTTTGAGTAGCTGAGAATGGAAAAGAGAAGAGAAAGTTGTCAGCAAGGCCCGAATCATGTTTTGGGATCAGTGATCAGGAAGATGGGGAGCAATTTTATTTTGAAAAATGATAACAGATCTCAAAAAATCTATTGTTATCAGTGTAACACAAGTGGCAAAACAAATCAATCAGAAAGTCAATTGGATATAAAATATGCAAATCTCAGAACCTAAAACTCTAGTTCCTTATATGACAAGTCAGATTTTCTTGCTGAATCTCATACAAGGAAATCTTTTTGAAAACAAAAGCAGCAAAATCTGTGGTTCTCCATAGGGGTGGTACTGTCCTCCTCTCCTCCAATGAACCTGGTGGAAATCTGTGGGAGAGTTCTGTTGCCACAATGATGAGGAGCGGGTGTAAAGCCAGAACTCCTGCAGTTCCTGCACAAACAAGGCTCCCCACTCCTGCTAGCCACTCAAGTCAGTGAAAATTCTGTTTACAATAACTTTGAAACCAGAATCTAACTGTACTTTGCATATAAACACAGAGCATAATTTTGTTGTTGAATTTTTCAAACATGTAACTCCCATGAAAACTTGAGGAAGGATTATATTTTACTTCATTTCGAAACTTACCAAGAGTTGAAGTTGTTTACTATGTCAGATAATTATGTAATAAAAGATAATCTCATAAATTGTATTTGAACTCTAATATAACACACCTGTGTCAGTCTGTATATATACCAAATAATTCATTTTACCCTTATTTCAAAACACCAAATACAAATAAAAATGGTCATTTGGAAATAATTTTACTTTTCTTATATATGTATATATTTATTTTATTATTATTATTATTATTATTATTTTTTGACAGGCAGAGTGGACAGTGAGAGAGAGAGACAGAGAGAAAGGTCTTCCTTTTGCCGTTGGTTCACCCTCCAATGGCCGGGGCGGTTGGTGCGCTGCGGCCGGCGCACCGCGCTGATCCGATGTCAGGAGCCAGGTGCTTTTCCTGGTCTCCCATGGGGTGCAGGGCCCAAGCACTTGGGCCATCCTCCACTGCACTCCCTGGCCACAGCAGAGAGCTGGCCTGGAAGAGGGGCAACCGGGACAGAATCCGGCGCCCCGACAGGGACTAGAACCCGGTGTGCCGGCGCCGCAAGGCGGAGGATTAGCCTAGTGAGCCGCGGCGCCGGCCTTAATTTTTTTACAAACCTTTGTGTCGAGGGCTGACTTTCAATAGATCGCAGCGAGGGAGCTGCTCTGCTACGTACGAAACCCCGACCCAGAAGCAGGTCATCTACGAATGGTCTAGCGCCAGGTTCCCCACGAACGTGCGGTGCGTGACGGGCGAGAGGGCGGCCCCCTTTCTGGCCGCGACCCGTTTCCCGGGACAAAGGGCTCTCCGCACCGGACCCCGGTTCCAACGCGCGGTGGGGACTTTTCTTATATTTAAATGTGCAGGTAGAAATGTTTGACTTCTCCATTATGTCTTCTAGCAAAGCTGTAACTGAGCCATTCATAGACTGAAATACAATACACATAATTTTCTTATGTCTTTCCTGTATTTGCCCCCCTTAAATCACAGCTAAGACAATGTCTTTCTTTTGAAATTTTGTAATATTTTCTAGGAATGTCACATGGATAATAAAGAAGCATTACAGATACTTGTAATAAAATGGAGCACTGGACTGAAATGATTGAGAATCACTGATTGCTTTTTCTGCATTTTCTGTATTTTTATCTGGAAAGACCAGGAGAGCCTAATTTCATCTATAAGAGCCTTGAAAAACATTATGTCTCAGTTTTGACTTTTCATCTGAATTCAGTGCTCTCCCTCAAAAAAGAAGGAGAAGGAGAAGGAGAAGGAGAAGGAGAAGGAGAAGGAGAAGGAGAAGGAGAAGGAGAAGGAGAAGGAGAAGGAGAAGGAGAAGGAGAAGGAGAAGGAGAAGGAGAAGGAGAAGAAGAAGAAAGGAAGGAAATGGAAGGAAATTAAAATAGTATGATAAGAGACATACTTACCAAGCTGAACTTCTGGTTTTTGAAGAAATTCATGAAGAACATTTTGAACCTACATAGCAAAAGAAAAGAAAAAGAAACCATATGTTACTCTTCAATTACCATGTATTTAGTATTTTAGACTAAAATTCATCTACAGTCTTTCTATTTAAGTGCTGGATGATCTTTCTAACCTGAGAACAGAAATAGTAATAATTCACACTAAGTTTTACAGATTTACTCCAAAGTATATAGAGTGCTTTCACAAATGTGTCCTCAATGATTTCTAAACTTTTTGTGGGAGAAGACCTGGGATGCTGAGAGTGACCTCATTTTGCCCCCTCTAGGGGACATTTCTAGCAACCCTCAGAAATTGAGTGCAATGGAGCAAAGGCACTTTTAGCAACCAGCTTGGCAATCTAAAGAATTCCCTCTACTTCCTGTTTCTTCACTAACTAAAAATGAAATTTCACAGTTCTTCTTAGTCCATTTTTAAAAATAGATTTTGCCTTTTTTTGGACAAACTTTATGTTCACAGCAAAGTTAAGGAGAAAATATCCCCTTTCCCCTGACCCCTGGCACAGACTGCCTTCTGTACTAGGAACATCCTCCACCAGAGTAGTATATTTGTGAAGGTCAGTGACCCTGCACTGACACATCATTGTCACTCAAAGTCCCTAATTTATATTAGGTGTAATTCTTGGTGGTATACTGTAGATTTTCACAAATGTACAATGACATATATCCACCATAACAGAATCTACAAAATTGCTTCACTATCTTAAAAGTTCTTTATGCTGGTGCCAGTGCTGTGGCTTGGCGGGTAAAGCTGCCATTTGCAGTGCCGGCATTCCATATGGGCGATGGTTCAAGTCCTGGCTGCTCCACTTCAATCCAGAGCTTAACTATGGCCTGGAAAAGCAGTAGAAGATGGCCCAAGTCCTTGGGCCCTTGCACCTGTGTGAGAGACCTGGAAAAAGCTTCTGGCTCCTGGTTTCCAATCAGTCCAGCTCCGGCCATTGTGGCCATTTGGGGAGTGAACCAGAGAGGATGGAAGACTTTCTCTCTCTCTCTCTCTCTCTCTCTCTCTCTCTCTCTCTCTGCCTCTTCCTCTCTGTAACTCTGCCTTTCAAATAAATAAATAAATCTTTAAAAAAAAAAAGTCCTTCATGCTTCACCATTCATCCTTTCCTCTCTTCTCACTCCTGGTAACCCCAGATCTTTTTACTATCTCAATTTGCCTTTTCCAGAATGTCATATAGTTGGAATCATACAGTATGTAGCCTTTCCAAATTGGCTTCTGTGACTTAGTAATTTGCACTCAAGTTTTCCCCATGTTTTTCATTGGGTTGATAGCTCATTCCTTTTTAGCACTGAGTAATATTCCATTGTTTGAGTGTATCAAAGTTTAATTATCCATTCATCTAGTGAAGGACATCTTGTTGGCCTCCAAGCTTTCTCAATTATGAATAAAGCTGCTATAAATACCTATGTGCATGTGCTTGTGTCAACATAAGTTTTCAATTCATTTGAGTAAATATTGCTAGATCAAATGTTAAGAGGATATTTAGTTGTGTATTTGTGTGTACATTAAAAAACATATAACGGGGGGGGGGCTGGCATGGTGGCGTAGTGGGTTAATCCTCCGCCTGTGGTGCCAGCATCCCATATGGGCACTGTTTTGAGACCCGGCCACTCCACTTCTGATCTAGCTCTCTGCTATGGCCTGGGAAAGCAGTGGAGGATGGCTCAAGTCCTTGGGCCCCTGTACCCCTGTGGGAGACTGGAGGAAGCTCCTGGCTCCTGGCTTTGGGATTGGTGCAGCTCTGGCCATTGTGGCCATTTGGGGAGTGAATCAATGGACAGAGGACCTTTCTCTTTGTCTCTCCCTCTCACTGTAACTTTACCTTTCAAATAAATAAATAAAACCTTTAAAAACATTTTAAAAAACAAAATTTATCAACTCAACCATATAAAAATGTGTTATACATATATAATCACGCTGCTGTGAAACAGATCCAGGACTTTTACATCCTGTAATTCTAAAAAACCCCTGCCCAATAAACAGCTCCCCTTGTTTTCCTCCCATTCATATGAAGTCCACTAATTCAGATACCTTGTACAAGTGTAAGTAGAATAACTCAGTATTTGTCTTTAAAGAGTATGCTTAGTTTCACAAGAAACCATAACATTTTCAAAGTGGCTGTACCATCTTTTAAAAGATTTATTTATTTATTTGACAGGCAGAGTAAGATAGAGAAAGAGAGAGAGAGAGAGAGAGAGAGAAGGAGAAATCTTCCAACTGCTGGTTCACTCCCAAGATGGCTGCCATAGCCAGAGTTGGCCCAGTCTGAAACCAGGAATTTCTTCTTGGTCTCCCATTCAGATGGCAGGGGCCCAAGCACTTGGTCCATCCTCTGCTGCTCTCCCAGGCATATTAGCAAGAAGCTACATCGGAAATGGAGCAACTGGGGATCGAACCAGGACTCATATGGGATGTTGGCATTACATGTGGCAGCTTTACCCCCTATGCCACAATGCCGGCCCCAATTTTGCATTCTTACCAGCAATGAATGAAAGTCCTTACTGCTCTACTTTCTTGGAAGCATTTGGTGTGGTCAATGTTTTGGACTTTGACTATTTTGATAGGTGTGTGGTAGTATCTCATTGCTGTTTTAATTTGCAATTCTCTAATGATATCTGATGCTGGGCATCTTTTCATATGCTTTGGTGTAGTGTCTATTCAGGTCTTTTACTCATCTTTTATTTTGGCTGTTTGTTTTCTTATTGTAGAGTTTAGAGAGTTCTTTGTATGTTTTGGATAATAGTTTTACTAGTTATGTCTTTTTTGTATGTTTTGGATAATAGTTTTACTAGTTTTGTCTTTTTCTAATATTTTCTCCAAGGCTGTGGCTTGTCTTCATTGGTCTATTTTAATCATTCACCTTAAGATATGCTTGGTGTAGTATCAAACCAATAACTATTTTCAAATCTCTACATACTTAAAAAAGAACATTTAGGGGCCAGTGCTGTGGCATAGCAGGTAAAGCTGCTGCCTGCAGTGCCGGTATCTCATATGGGCGCCAGTTCTAGTCCTGGCTGCTCCACTTCTGATCCAGCTCTCTGCTATGGCCTAGGAAAGCAGTGGAAGATGGCCTAAGTCCTTGGGACCCTGCACCTGCATGAGAGACCCAGAAGACGCTCCTGGCTCCTGGCTTCAGATCGGCGCAGCTTGGGCTGTTGCAGCCATCTGGAGAGTGAACCAGAGGATGGAAGACCTCTCTACCTCTACCTCTCTGTAACTCTGCCTTACAAATAAATTTTAAAAAAGAAAAGAACATTTAGCCTCTAGGGTATGGTTGTTCTCTGCAGCTGACAGACTTTGTCTCTTAGGTCTCACAGGAATGGTCAAACACACAATGAAGAAATGAAAGTTGGGTCTTCTTATAACAGTGTGCTTGGGGACCTCAGCCAGAGTGAAGATTTTAGGAATATATTCAGAAAATTGAAGAAATCAACTCAAGGACAGGTCAAGCATTGACTTAATTCAGAAGTATGGAAAATTTTGAGGGAGGCTATTAGCATTTCACTCAGTACTCCAGCAACTGCCCACATATCACCCACCCAACCTACCCTTCGCCCACACACCCTTTTCTTACCACAACTAGGGGAATCATTCCTTTGGGGTCTAGAATCCATTCATTGAACTGCTCCTGCAGAGCCTGTTTGCGCATGTTGGCCACCTTGACTTTGACTTTGCTTACGCTTTCTCTTTGTTCTCGTTTCTGCTTCACTTTCTCCTTCATCTTGGACACTCTGAAGGATGTGGACATAGAATACAGGTTAAGACCCTTGCATTTGGTGCAGATTGTCCAAATGGCAGAATATAAAAGTTCAGAGCTATTGGGCATTGCCTAAAATAGTTCCTGACAATATGGCACCTGGCGGATGTTCGAGGGGTGTATCTGCAGCCACTGTGGTTAAGCCACACAAGATCGGACCACCTGCAGGGATAGTTCCGGACATGTGGACAGTGCATGATCCCTACACTTCTTAAGATGGCCCTGTGCGTGGTCCACCCACGCCTGCATGACCTTTTCGCTGATTGGCTCCCGTACTGTGTATGTCTTTTGTAAACCTTATAAGCCTGCACACTTCCTCAATAAAGTAGTTCCTGCTTCGACAGAATCCACGGGTGCTTGCTGTGTTCTTGACTCGTCGACCTTACTTTTCCCATTCGCCTTGTCGGGGAGTGCTTGTACTGTTCCCTGCCGGTTGGGGGCCAGCCTCAGGCTTAAGACCCCAACACAGAGTCTCACTAAAACTCTGTACCTCTCTTTTCTTCATGAAATCTTTCTTGATTCCAGCCTGTAGTGGAATCATTACTAACTGAATTTGACATTAATTATAGGCTGCTTTCTACCACTATCAACTTTTTATAGAGCTAGGCCTTTTTTGACCAGATAAGTACTATATTTAAGAAGTATTAGTGAAATGTGAATTAGTACACTCATTATGGAAAGCTGTATGGCAATTCCTTAAAAAAACAATAATAGAATTATATGATCTGGTAATCCATCCTCTGGGTATTTATCCAGAAGACTTGAAATCAGTATACTGAAGGGCTGTCTGCATTCCCAAGTTTATTACAGCACAATGACCACACTATGGAATCTAAGTGTCCATCAGCAGAGGAATGGATAAAGAAAATGTAGTAATGAGGAATATATAAATACACAATGGAATGCTGTCCAGAATTTTAAAAGAAGGCCATTCGGTCATTTACCACAATATGCATGGAATAGGAAAACACTGTGCTAAGGGGAATAGACCAGGCACAGAAAGACAAATATCATACAGTCTTACTTAAATGTGCAATTTAAAACAACCAAACTCACAGAAACAGAGAATAAAATGTTGGTTGATAGAGGCTGGGTGTGAGTGTTTGTGGCAATGGGTTCAGAATCTCAGAAAAGAGAAATAAGTTGGGTCTTTTTTAAATCTATCGCACAGCATGGTAAATATAGTTAATAGTGTATTGTACAAGGGTACTTCAAAATATGAGTGGAATATAGAATTAAAAGATAAGTTTAACTTGGAGCAAAAATTTTTTTGAAATCCACGCATACCTAGGATCTTCAAAAAGTTGAGAGAAGGGCTGGTGTTCAGTCCAGCAGTTAAGATACTGGTTAAAGCTTCTTGCTAACACACCTGGGAAAGCAGCAGCAGATGGCCCTGCCACTCATGTGAGAGACCCGGATGGAATTCTAGCCTCCTGGCTTTGGCCCAGCCCCAGCTATTGCACCCATTTGAGGAATAAACCAGAGGATAGAAGATTTCTTTCTTTCTTTCTTTCTTTCTTTCTTTCTTTCTTTCTTTCTTTCTTTCTTTCTTTCTTTCTTTCTTTCTCTCTCTCTCTCTCTCTCTCTCTCTCTCTCTCTCTTTCTCTCTCTTTCTCTCTCTTTCTCTCTGTCTGCCTTTCAAATAAATACTTTTAAAAAACCATGGGTTTGGATTTATGGCAAGCCCATTGCCCTGGGCCTCTCATAGTGCCCCATGCCAGAGCAAACTATGGCCCCAAATCATTGCCTGGCCTCTGTCCATAGGTTGTTGGCATTGAAGCAGGTTGAACAGTAGAAAAGAAAATTTCAAAAAAGATGTTGCTTAAGATGCCTACATTCTATATTGGCATTCTTTCATTCAGTACCTGACTCAGATTCCTGTCCAGTTTCCTGCTAATGTAGATCTTGGGATGGTGGGGAAGATTAAATACAGCACATGATGGTTCAAGTAATTAGATTCCTGTCACCATCTGGATTGAGCTCTTGGCGCCCAGCTTTGCCCAGCCCAGTCTTGGTTGTGGTGGGCAGTTGTGTGTGAACCAGCAGACAGAAGGGCATGTGCACGCACACTCTCCTCTCTGTTTCTCTACATCTCAAATAATTTTTAAAGTTGATGGAAATGAATATTATAAAAACTATGAATAGATTTCAAAAATTTTTGCAACTAAACTTACTTCTTAATTCCATTTTTCCTCAAACATTTTGAAGTCCTGCCATACATTTCAAAATTATTAACAGAGTAAATTTTAAATATTCTCCCCATATAAATATGGTGACTATTTGAGGTGCTAAGTATCTTAATTAGTTTGATATAATTATTCTACATTGTATTCATAAATCATAATATCACTTTTTCCCCATAAGTATATTACAACTATAAATGGTTAATTTACAGTGTTTAAAAAGGAAGTAGTAAGAAGCACGCTAGAAGCTGCCACATACACTTTAAGACAAGGGTAGACACAGTTAGGCCTTAAGGTAGAATTGTATCTCTTCCCTGGATGCAGAAAGCATACAGAAGGATTCTGACTCCCAGTCTAGTGGAAGCCTGGAAGATGAATTTATAGCAAGTAAATCAAATCATTCTGATGTCTTGGATCAAACTTTTGATAAATCTGTCTAGATGTGTATCTTGGTCTGCCACCTTTAGCCAGAGTTAAGTGCTGTGACAGTCCTTCCTGAAGTCCTGACCATAATATTTACCCTTGGACTCAGTCAGAGACACATCACCTGGACTGAAAATGGAAGAAGAACCATGAGGTTAGCTGCTCCTATATTCATCATCCCTATTAGGACTTGAAAATCCCCAAAATGGTTTTGATTGAAATCAAATCAAATGGCACAGAACAATAAAAATAGCCACTGGTTTCAAGTGCAATTCTTGTTTCCAACAATATTTGAGGCAGGCCTTTATCTTTCAAAGAAAAGACTAAGACTATTAGACATATTTTGAAATACAAAAAGATCTTCAGAACTTTTGGATGTAAATCGGATGCTTCTAATAACCCAAAAGAAACTACTAAAATCTAATCACTTTATGCTCACACATGGGCTTCAAAATTCTCTAGGAAAATAAGTCTTCAAAAATAGACATTGAAGTTTGAAAATAAAAGCAGACAAGCAGTTTAATAGTGCAGAAGAGCCTGTATCTGAACTGCTAGGAGATTAATTAGTATTTTAAAGGAAGTGTTAAATCCTCATGCAACAGCTAAGCAGCCTTTTTTCTGCCGTTCACTCTGCTATTCCCCTCGTGTTTTTCTCTCTACTGCTTTCTCTCTCTCCCTCTCTGTATGGAATTCTCAATTTCTGTTCTTCCGTTGTGACTTTCTATTCTGTATCTGGGTCTTTCACTCAGCTTTTTTTTCATCATTCATATATCTACTGACTAAGCCTGTCACTCACTCATTATAAAAATTACTGGGCACCTACCACAGATTCTGCCCTTATGAATTGTAAGGTCCTATGTCAAAAATGGTAAGTAAATCGTATTGTGAGATACCTACTGAGTATCTCCAGTATCTCATGTGACACAAAAATAGATCCACAAAATTGGTTTTCTGTCATATTTCCTTCTGCTTAAAATATTTTCCTCCCTGACTAGATCTTCTGCAGGCTTTAGGTTTCAGCTCAGACATCATTTCCTCCCACTTACCAATGCCCACATTTAGAAACTAAATCTAGTTTTGTGCTTCAGGGCCACTGTACATGAGATCAAAATATAATCCAAATGGATTTTAAATTGATTGTGTCACTCATTCAGCTAATGAATAAAATTTCTCTTCTTTAGCCTGTGTTAGCTCATGAATGATGTTTATATCATTCATCAGAATTCTATATCACCCAAAATTCTCAACTTTGGGCAGTATAGAGTAGATATAACCTACACACAGATTCTAAGCATAAGTCCACATTTAACGGGACTGGAAAGGGAGGAAATTCTTATGTGGTAAGTTGTAAAAATGTTTGCAAATTATTCCCATTCCTGTATGTGTGTCTCTGCCTGCAGGGTAACTTTGCAGTCCATCTCATGAAGAAATAGAGCCTATTTCTCCATCCTTGCTGTCTATCTGGGGACATATGACTTGTCAGTAGCAAATAGGGTGCAAGCAGAAAGTAGAAAAGTGTTTTTTTTTTTTTAAGATTTATTTATTTGAAAGGCAGAGTTACTGAGGGAGAGAGGCCTTCCATTCACTGGTTCACTCTCCAAATGGCCACAGCAGCGGAGGCTGGGCCAGGTCGAAGCCAGAGCCAGGAGTTTCTTCCAGGTCTCTCATGTGGGTGGCAGGGACACAAGCACCTGAGCCATCCTCTGCTGCTTTTCCCAGGTGCATTAGCAGGGAGCTGGATCAAAAGTAAAGCAGCTGGGACTTGAACCTGTGCCCATCAGGGATGCTAGAGTCACAGGCAGTGGCTTTACCTGCTATGCCACAACACCAGCCCCTGAAAAATTCTTGAACATTGGGGCTTAGTCTCTTTTATTGAACTTGGGAGCCTTTCCACTGCCATCTTGGTAATGGGCCTAGGCAAGCCTACTGTGTGGCAATCCAATTACCTGCACTGCTATTGGAAATAGCCAACCAACCACATTTAATGACTTAAGAAAAATCAAAGTCATTGGTTAATCATGATTACCCTAAAAAATTAGGTCTACATGAAATTTTATAAAATGGTGAAGAGAATTTACCATAACATCTTCATTAAATACTAATGCTTTCAAAATTAAACTACTACAAAATTAAATACTAGAGATTTAAAAATTAAACATTCAATTACTCCAAATTAAGGAAAGTATGAAAATGAGGTGACCCTTTTACAGCATCAGGCATTAAGACATAATTCATAATAATCTTATGTATTTAAAACCAAAAACTAAAAGGCAAAAAGAAAAAGAAAATTTTCATCTTGAAGGTAGAAGCCAGATGGGGATAGATAGGTTAATTAATTTATTTAACCAACTGAACATTATCCACAATG